GAGAGAGACAGAGAGCGAGAGAGAGNGAGAGAGAGAGAGAGAAAGAGAGAGAGATTTTGTCAATTCTTGACTAGAGTCCCATAGGATGCACTCACCTCATGAACCAACTGGATGAACATGAACGTGTCCTAAGACTATACTTGGATTATTTTTTTTAAAGAAATGTGTTTATTGTTTCTCAATTATGGCAAAGTTTCTATTTGTTCTCTTTTTCATAATGATTTTAAACTTTGCTTTGTATTTTTTTATTTTCTCTTAATTTTACCCATTTTTGGTAATTGTTCTATTTCACACCATATTATATCTTGGGAAAATATAGTGAGATTATCAAACCACCCATGAATTGGTTACTTTGTTAAAATGTTTCTATTTTAGGTATTTTCTAATATTCTGTCAAAACATGCCTTGACATTTGAAAACTCAAACAAGTAGGGGTATTTTGGTAATCTAGCTTCATTGGATCAAGTGATCAAATTACTAAAATATCTTCACATGTTTCAGAATCTGAACATGAAACAAGATATTTGCTGAACATGAAACAAGATATTTGCATGTAAAAACATATTATTTTGAGCTTAAACTCGGATAAACAAGGATAGTCTATCATTGGGGACCAGATTACCATAATGATCCCAAATCAATATGTCTCATGTTTAGAACCGAAAACCAGCGGGTCATCCACTTTAGTGGGGCCTAATTACCAAACCACCTTTGTTCGAGGTTCCTAACTAGAGAACTTGCAGTTTAACTACTTTTTTTTAAAAAAAACAGTAAAAAAAAAGAAAAGGAAAGGAGGGAGACGTAAGTGTAGAAATCTTAATAAACTATTTAACAAAAAAAAATGGTTGAAGAGGGTCATTAGTGTAGAAATTTTAGTGACGTAACTATTTAAATTGGTTGATTCAACGACCTTTATTTAAAAGGTGATTTATTTAAAAGTTGAGGTTTGTATAAGGTGCCTACCTTATGCTATACAAGTAAGGGCATTCCACATTTTGGAGGAAGATGTCATCCGGTGTCAAAAACTTTATGCAAGTTTGAAAATCCATGTTCAATCATAATCATGAAATTTAAAATTGCAAAAATGGTGCATCTTAAACAAATATATAAACACTTGAAAATAGACGCTCTAGATAGCATATTATAAGATGCAGTAATTTTAGGACTCAAATTTTTCATTTTTCTTTATACCATAGATCGTGAGTTGAAATGATCAATTGGATTTTTTCCAACATCCGAACAATTTTTTTTCAAGTTTTTCTACTGGATTTTTGAGGTGAAGCTTGCTTCTATAGTATAGAGTTACAACCTTATATATTCCTTATTAAAATGGCCGGAGCAACTAAAAAATAAAAGAAAAGTGAAAATTGACCTCCATTAGATGATGCATTAATGAAAACTGGGCTACATATACAAGCCACTTAAATGATGAAAGAAATGTCCCAAAAATTCCAAGTTGAACATTTAGAGATCGGTAAGAAAGTCCTAAGAAGAAACCCAATTTCTATTTAAATAGTCACCGGTGGACGGACCCATACGACAAAGTCTCCCGAGAGAGAACAAAACAGTATTGCTTTTGGTTTTACATTTGAGTGCAGTTTGTATAAGGCTGAAGCCCTAAACAATCAAAGTATGGCGCACCTTTAAATAGTGTCGAAAGGTTGTTTCTTAGAAACCTTGCTTTGTTTTAATATCTAATTATAAAATTTAAAGCTTAAAAAATATTGTAGACTTTGAACACTTGAAAATCTATAAAATTGACCGACCATAAAATACATTAATACATTACAAGATGCACGAGTGGTTAACATTTAACATTAACATTGACTTGTACGGTTAATATTAGCAGCTACCATTGGGCTACACATGCACTTTGAACCCATTGGCTATGGCACTAGCTACAGCGTTTTCCTAAATTTAAGGGGTTTTAAAGGTAAAATAATGAAGGTTCAAGTATTTTATAAAATCATTAAATGGGCTCCTAAATTTAAGGGGTTTTATAGGTAAAATAATAAAGGTTCAAGTATTTTAGAAAATCATTAAATGGGGTCGTTTAGTGGTGTTATTTTACATAATATCCGATTTAGCACTGCAGGGTTTACGTTTGAAGTTCCATTTTTGACAGGTACCTCTTAAAAAACATTATTCAAAGTTTTCAAATTGGTCCTATTTGTTGAAAATGGAGAACAATCAAGAGCATTTTGTTAATTTAGCTCACTTAAGTGGCTCAAGCCAAGTAACAAAAATAGCTTTAGGAACATTTAGCTATCAAATGACAAATTTCTCTCGTTATGAAGTGCTAATCACAAGCAACTAAAGGTATATTGGTGTTTCAATTCTAAACAATTAGAGGTATTTTCTGTAATTTGGTTCGAGCCACTTAAAGTGCACTATAAACTATCAAAATGCCCTTAGTTGTTCATGGTTTCCAACCTTGAGCATAAGTGATTTCGAAAATTTTGAACATATATTTTGAAGACGTACATTAATGAAATAAAGCTTTAAAAGTAAACCATGTACTATACTAATAACTAATGATTTGATAAGATACTGGACCCTTAGTGATATCTTCCCTGATAGGGTTTTGGCGTATCAGCTAGTTAGGGTGCGGCCTCTAAATCCATTGATAGATTTTGGACTAAAGATTTTAATAATCTCGAACACGACGACGTTCATAGATATGAAAAAACATTGGTTCTGAACCTAAAAAATGGATAATTTTATTTTTTTAGTTTTTCATGACGGTTCATTTCTATTTCTTTTCATATTATTAGATCTACATTATTTTTTTGAGCTGCAAAATCCCGAATCCAAATCAGAAATGCATTTAAAGTTGCTTACAATGTGTTTCCAATCCATTTCTAATTGAGCAATGATCCAATACCACGGTTGTATCATAGTATAATGCAACGACACTTCTAGAAAACTATGTTTGTAGTATTTATATGATCTTAAATTTTGCAAACACACTCTTTTCATTTCAATAATCAATTCCCCCTAAAAAAAAAAAAAAATTCAATTTGAACCCTAGATATGGTCAAAATGAGTCCCCTCCTCTAAAAACAAATCTAGACCATTCATTTTGTGAATTTCAAGATCTTAGCCTTTATGAACTCAAAATCATTTTTTTTCTTTTTTAACATTGTTCATCTAATGATAATAAAGCCATCCAGAAAAATTGGAAATGGAAAAAAATCCTTCTAAGGCCTAGACCTAAGCATCTCACCAAAATGAACGGTCTATGTTAATTGGGCTAAAAAAATATTTTATAGGTTGTGTTTTCAATTTTTCTTTTTTTGTAATTGTTCATTAGAATGAAAAGGATGTATATTTAAAAATTTGGATCAAACAAATGGCTATAAGATCGTTTTTTAAGGTTGTTACATCATATTACTCTACAACTGGCTATAAGATGGTTTTTTAAGGTTGTTACATAATATTACTATACAACGGTTGCATGAAATCATTGGTCATTCTAAAATAGAACATCGGTAGGGAAATACAGTTGAATAGGGCCCATTCAATTTTTTTCCCTTTCTATTTTTGAAAAATTTCGAAGTCCAAACCATATAGCGTCTTTTTTTTCAATAAAATTGTGGTAGGAACCTTGAGATTCTTAATCATATGGAGAGAGCTGATATCCTCCCCATTGAACCAAGTATATAGTTAAGGCCTAAAGAACTAGACCTTGGGCTACAAAATGTAGCCCAAGGGCCAGGCTAAGGCTTGGACACCTCGCTCCAAGACAGGTTTGGAAAGCACATGGACCCTTTTTTCTTATTGTTTTTTTGTCATTATATTTGCTTTCGTGTGGCCCAGATCAACCCAAATAGGGCCATGGCTGAGCTTGGGCCAAGGCTTTTTTGATCCTGTCACAGTTAGTCCTGACTGGGTTCAGCCCAACACGATAGGGACTAGGGCTAGTCCTCGCCTAGGACCGGCCCATTGCCACCCCTTAGTTTCAAGTAAACCCTGGATCTTTTGGTAAAATAAATTCATACAAGGGCAAAAGCAAAAAAAGTTCAATGCTGATGCTTAGAATCAAACCAACTCACGCATCCTCTAATAAAAAGTGCAAATAAATAATAGCAAAAGCATCTCGTCCGCATCATGCGGAAGGGTGCCCACGCATCCTTTGGATGGTTGAGATCTCATATGTTTATATCCAACGATTGAAAATGATTTATTTTTTATTTAAATAAGATATTTGATATAAAATATATTTTTTAAATATAATTAAATAAAAATAATTGAAAAATATTTTAAATAAAACAACAAAATATCTCTAAATTTATTTTTGTTAATATTTTATTATTCAAAATAATTTTTTTATTAATTTCATTCAACACTACTTATAAAAATGAATTTAATATTTTATAATTCAAAACAATATTTTATTAATTTTATTCAATCCTACTTATAAAAATGAATTTAAACCAAAATTGAAGGTTAAAATAATCTTTAAATGAGAAATAAAAAATAAAAAACTAGATTCTGGCCATGCTTGGACGAGCAGGTTCAATGAACCATTGAAAAGTGCACAAGCGCATGCAAATAAAGAAATTAGAGAGAGAGAGAGAGAGAAAGAGAACACGTGTTATGCGTGTGAGGAGAGAGAATCTCATTGAGGAAAAAGCGAGGGAAATGAACCGTTGAATGCAATGAGAGACCGCGAATGTACCCATGCAACTACGCTCGAAGATTCGCAGCAATAGAGAGAGAGAGAGAGAGAGAGGGGAAGATTCCTTGGACTTATTCGCTTTGCCCAAATACCTCTCTTCCCAACCCCCCCCTTCCCTGCAACCGTTACTTCTCTCTCTCTAAAACCTCTCTCTCTCTGTCTCGATGCTCCGCACTCTTCATCCTCACCGCTCTCTACCCATCTCGTACTCCCAAAAACCATATCATCCCCATCCCCATCCCCATTCCCACCCTCACGTTGCCCCAGTTCTTGCAAAACGCCCCCCTGCATTTTGCAGGATGTCTCTCTCACCTCCTTCACCTTCCACCTCCAGGTCTCTCTCTTCCTTTCCTTTCCTTTTCTTTTCTTCTTCCTCCATTTTAATGCCTGCTTAATTTTGTTCTCTCCACATTTGTACTGTAATGTGAATCACTTCTTATCTCATAATGTAGATGCCTTTGTATGGAGCTCTTTTTTCTTTTTTTTTCTTTTTGTGCGTGGATGAGATCATTCAAGAAATTTATTTACCGACTAGGAATGATGAATTTATGGCTCGTTCGTTGTTCTCTAATGCTGGAAATTTTTGTACCAACTAGGAAAGATGAATTTGTGTCTCTTTAGTTGTTTTCTGATGCTCTTTTTTTGCCAAATTCTCATTAGTTTTCTGTAATTGAAATAATTTGTGGTTGGAGTTATATAGTCTTTTGTTTGACTTTGAAGGTGGTTTTATTGTTGCTTTTCCCAATTGTTTGTTTTTCATCTTCTTTAACTCTTCCTATTTGATTCAATTTGTGAGTCTCATACCGATTTCTTTGATCGTTTCTTTTATCTGATCGGGAGAATCGGCAATCTTCTTTTTGCTGATTCTTTCTCTACACTACTTGTGGTGGTGATCATTGATAAAAAATTTAACAATTCAAGTGAAAATGACGCTTAAGCATCACTCTCTTATTGTGTGATCTGCACTTAAAACCCAATGTTCAGGATCTAGTTATGAGATAAATTTTGTAATGCAAGAATCAGAATTGAAGATTCCCCGCTATTCAAGACTGACGATTCTAAGTTCTTGGGTTGGAGTTCAAGATTCAAAATATTGTTTCTTGGTTCAAGATTCAAAATATTGTTTCTTGGTTTACTTTATAACTTGAACTCCAGAACTAACAATTAAATTATTGATCGACATTTTATAGATTGCCAGATCGACAAGTTCACAATTTAAGTTTCAAGGTTAAGCATTGAAGATGATTCTGGAACAGGTAGCAAGGATTCATTACCTTGCAGCAGCAGCAGTTGTTGTTGTTGTTGTTGTTATTACTATTACTACTATTGCTACTAATACTGATCCTGTTGCTATTTCCACTGCTGTTGCTGGTGCTGATTCTTCTACCACGACTACCACTGCTTCTGCTACTACTGACCCTATTATTAGACTAGCTAATCACCTGAAATGCACGTGCCTGTGCCACTTTTATCAGTCAAGACAAATTTCAAATGTATGGGCACTGGAAAACAAGATATTGAATATTAATGAAGTCTTACAGATAGAAACTTTGTCTGGATGATTTATTGAAAGCGATCAGCATTAATTTTTGACGGAGTTCCTCTTGTTTCTTTTTTATGGGTGAGTGTGGTATTGGAATTTCTAAAATTTAAGTTTCTAGTTCGGAGCTGATGAATACCCTAAGCCTATTCTGTCATCTTCATGGCATTCACTTGGAATCGGTTATTGGTACAGAGTCCTATCCTGGGGATTTACCAAAGGTCTATATTGAGGACCTTCTGAAGACAACTGATTCTTACATATTTTATCTGACCTCAATGGCAGTTGCGTGAATTGCATCTCTTTTAATTCCTCTGCTAGGGCCATTGAACCAACACTCTGTAACTTTCAATCAAATTCTTCATGCACTCATCCTCTTCAGTGATTCCAGTGGTCTTGTAAGTCTTTTTGGTCCTTGCTCAAGAAGTTTCTAGATTTTGTTTTGCTTCCATAAGTTGGTTTCTGTCCTTAGCTTTCCATGGATAATCTCTTGCTAGCATGTCAAGCCTTTTTTTAAAGGGTCATCATGTTTGGTTATCCTTCATTGCATGATATCTATTTATTTACACTTAGATCTGAAGTTCAGAAGAATTGATTCGCAATAATCTAGTTTAAAGTACCTCTCTTGGAGGTTTGCTTCAAACATTTGGTCTTTCTAATCAACAATAGCACTAAATCTTGGGTGTTAGTAAATGACTTTGCTATTTTCTTGAGCTGCATAACTCGATTCCTGATTTCACATCATCAAAGTACAGTTCATTAACATATCTGTGCTTATTTGGTTTTTACATTTTTTTAATCAGATGTATTTGCTGGCATTTCTACCTCTCTTGAATCCTACAAGCTCACATAAACAAAGTATCTTGCAAGATTGATGTTTGGAATGTTTTCTTTGCTCAAGATTTACCATAATAGGTTATTAAACTAATAAACGATTCCCTAGTGTAAGAGGCTAGAAAACAATTATATATGACTTGTTTGGACCTGTGCTTTATATCACAGAGTAAATAGTTTACATGCTTGTGTGCCTCTTTGTGAGTGTGTGTGTGCGTGTGAGTGAGTTAGAGAGAGAGAGAATGTGTCACGACCCCACTCCGTGCCGTCCCCACCAGACCCTAGAGGGCCTGGCCCGGGCTTGCCGGAGGACCTGTGGTCATGGACCCCACTCCCTACGGTCCTCTGGTGGGCCCGGGCCTGTCCCTCTAGGGTCCAGTGGGGACGGCAGCGAGCAGGGTCGTGAGAGAGAGAGAGAGATTTGCAAATTGATGCGGGTGTTAACAATTACTTGAACTTGTTTTCTTGAACTAACAGCTTTTGCTTCTCAAAGCTCGGAACTCTTGAAGCAATACTGTTTGATATTGATGGAACACTGTGTGACTCTGACCCTCTCCACTACTTGGCATTTCGTGACATGCTTCAAGAGGTAGGCAATATCTTCCAGCATTCCCTTTCTTTTCTAACTAGGTAAGCTTGGTTTGCAAGGGGGACAAGCTTTGATGTATGATCCATTAAGCTCCATATAAGCCTGGAAGCACACCACTGTTGCAGGATTTCATTATATATTGTTTTGTAAAACACAATCTCCATAATTGTAACTGGAGCATGCCATATTTGTTGACAGGTCGGATTCCAAGGTGGCATCCCTATCACTGAGGAGTTTTTCAGTCAAAATATAAGTGGCAAGCACAACGAGGATATCGCCCAATTCCTTTTTCCAGACTGGGAACACCAGAAAGGCATGAAGTTCATGGATGACAAGGAAGCCTATTTTCGAAGGTATACTTACACAGGGAAAATGTACAATAGTGCAATGTGCCATGGTGTGCTCTCAGTCCATTGGGCTCACAATCATTACTGGAATGATAGAGGTGACAGAGGGAGTGAGACCTCCTAGAGCAGGACATGTACCAACAGTAGGTCCCACAGTCTCTCGATCCCTGTCCACCATTTCATTGAATGAGGACTCCAATAATCCATTAAATTATGTACATGAATGCTTAATGGGTGTTCTTATAATTGATATACTCGACGAACTATGCTTTTTATGATTTCTTTATTTGGCATATATTTCCTCTTAAAGAGACATGGAGTTGATAAATTGATACACAGATTGGCAAAACAGCAATTGGAGCCTGTTAATGGTCTCGATAAGCTGAGAAGATGGATTGAGGAGAGGGGGTTGAAACGTGCTGCAGTGACCAATGCACCAAGAGAGAATGCAGAGCTCATGATCTCCATTCTTGGCCTCTCTGACTTCTTCATGGCTCTTGTGGTGGGGACTGAATGCGAGCGTGCAAAGCCATTTCCAGATCCTTACTTGAAGAGCCTGCAAGTGGTTGAGGCCTTAGCTGATCGTGCATTTGTGTTTGAGGTTTGTCTTGTGACACCTTTTCCTGATAGATAAAGAAATCAAGTTTTTGTTATTTTTTCTGATATCTACAGGCTTTCTGCTTTCTTATGCCTCTATTTAATATATATCGATATTTTTGTTGCCCCTCTATTTAAATTTTGCAATGCTTTCTGATATTTCCAAGTTTTGCTTTCTGTTGGGTCTTTGTCACATGACTAAATCATGTTTCCAATTTTTTCCTGTAGTCTCCTAGTTGGGTCTTTGGTGTACGAAGAAACCACCTCTCCAAAATTTTTCTTACGATCCCCAAGCTTATCATTTTGTTTGGTCATTGGTACATGAGAAGATTGACCTTCCAATGTTTCTTCTGCATCATAATGCTCTTTGATTTCTTGTATTTTTGGTAGATGAAGAGACCGACTGTACTATGTTCATTTGATGTTTTCTTGCCATTAATTTTGTTGGGTCTCTGGTGGATGAAGGATCAAATCCTGGTTTTCTGATGTATGATATTTTTTTGTTGTTTTCTCTTCCTTTGATCTCTAGTAGATGTAGAGGTCAAGTTTCAAATGTTTTCCTTGATATCTTGAATCTGAGTTCCTGCTAGATGAGGAGAATAATTTTCTTATGTTTTCCCATGTCTTCATGTCATAAATTTTCTTAGGTTTCTGCTTAATAGATCAAAACTCAAAACGTCTTTTTAAAATCTGCATGCTCTTCTGCTCATTGGGTATTGGGAAGATGAGGTCAGGTTTCCAGTGTTTCCTGATATCTCCAAGGTTTTTGCTTAGTTGGGCCTGAGGTTGTTGAAATGATCAAATTTTAGATGTTTTTATGTTACCTCCAAGTATTAGTATCTCTAATGTCACGTTTCCAATACTCTTACTTGTTCAAGTGTTGTGGTATGTTGGATTTTTATTTTAAGATAAACTTTCAGTGCTTTTCTCTCTGACATTTCCAAGCTCTCTCTCTCTCTCTCTCT